GATCACATTAACTTGCAAGCATTCGGAGACCCTGATCCACCTAGCTCCGTTTGGGACGATTACAACACTTATAGGGGTGCCCAGCCAAAGGGTAAATCTAAGGGTAGCGTTTTTGTTCAAAACACTGAGCCGCCTTCTCCACCTGAGGATAATTCGACTTTAGGCACTGATCCAGCCATGTGGAGGGATTTGAGTACTTCAGAAGAGACTCATACCCCATCTCCACGTGGGCCGCCAAAGGCGAAGCCTCGACCTAAAGAGCAGCCGAAGAAGCCGAGGGAGCCAGATCACCCACCACCTTGGGTGCCAAGTCTTCGTCCGGTTGATCATCCAGCTGTCCCTAAGGTTACTGAGTCGGTAGCTAGTGTGCCACCACCACGTGTTGCGGAAGGAGCTGCTGCAAAGCGCTCCAACTCAAAAGGGCCAAAGCAGCCATCCGAGCCTGCAGCATCCGGTGAAGCATCCGTGCCTGAACCATCCAAGCCAAAAGCATCGGAACCCAAAGTTGCTAAGCCCCCTAAAGATAATCCCTTAAAGAGATTAGGCCCACCACCTACTTATCCAGCCCCGCCAGTGCCAGTTCATCGTGACTTTCACCAGACATTATATAGGGCCACCCCCACAAAGGCCTCCAAGATCGGCCACACCAAGGGGTGATAGATCTGCTACTGCTATTCCACCACCACCTGCTCATCCTCCGCCCACTGCGGCAGATCTTGACAGGGCCAACCGTGGTAGAACTCGTGAGAGGGCAGATACAGTTCCAGCAGCCCGCACTGCAGGTGAAGATCAAGTTGATAAGTCTCCGGCAGCCTCTGCACCAGCAGCCGCAAAGCCTGTCAGTCGTTCGAGGTCACGCATCCTTGCTGTTCTTGTCCCAAGAGCCGACGGCAGTTTTGCTGATCAAGATACTGAATTTTTGAGGCGTGCTAGAGGGGGCCATCTGAGTAGTCCTAATCTTAGTTCCCGACCGTTAGTGCTTAGACCTGCTGACGCTAAATATCCCCCAGTGGTTATTAACTCAGAAGGTACCTGGGTGAGGATTTCCAAACCACCCGGAGCATCTGGCCGAGAACTAGCGACCATCCCGGTCGCAATCCCAGGTGAATCTACTTTTTCAGGTGACGCCCACGAGCTTCCAGACGAGCTGTGGAGGGATCCGTCTCTGTTAGGCAGTAACATCACTTTGGTAACGTCTCGCAAAACCCAAGTTTTCCCGATTTCAGAGCCTGAAAATTTACATCAAACTGTAGACGATTCAGAGTATCTTGAAGAGGGAGAAGAAGCTAGTGCCCCGCCACCTAAGCGTAGAGCTGTTGGTACTACCGCTTCAACGGGCCGCAGACAAGTATACCAAACTAGACGTAGATCGACTCCTCATCCAGACCCAGCTACAACATCAGCTGCACCAGGTGGACCTCCATCTGAGCCCGAGGCACCGGACGAAGATCCTTCAGAAGATCTTTCCGAACCTGGTGAACCAGAAGGTGAAGAGGAAGAGGAAATTTCATCTGACGCTCCTGAAGCCCCTCCAGAGGGCGAAGACGTTGAAGTTGAGGTTGAGGTTGAGGAAGAGGCTGCTCCATCAGCGCCTCACGCACCTGGCACTGTTTTACAGGCATCTCCGAAAGCACCAACTACTAGAGGTAGCGTTAGTAGGTTCTTGTCACCAGATTCAACAAGTGCTGAGCGTTCAAGATCTCGTCATAGGGATTCAGCAGTTGAAGAAGACACACCTGTTGCTGTAACAACTTCTTCTGCACGGGTATCAGGTACAATCCAAACGCAAATCTTCCGAGACGGCACCAAAGCCGAAGTTTTTGTCCGTGATATTCCAAGACCTAAGACTCCTCCAAAATCGATATACGTTCACCACCACCTAGATCAGCATCCCAACCACCAAAAGTTAAGCCACCACCACCCGGTGTTAGTGCAGCTAAGAGGTCGGCGTCTGCAGTTCCACCCTGGCGGGAAGGGGCTGCACGTGCGCCCCAAGTAGGAGGTCCACCTGTTCGCAAAAAGTATAAGGCCCCTCCTAGACATACTTACAGCTACTCCATCACTGTTGGTCAAGCTTACGAGCCAGGTGTTGATCCAGATCCACTGCAACCTACTGAAGAGGAACGCGGCCTGGGCGCGACCCAAAGAGGCAGCAGGACAAAGATTGGGAACGTCGTGTTGAGACACTTGCCGAAAGAAAACATCGCCAAGCGGTTGAGGCATATAATCAATCGGTGAAGCAGAAGGAGAAACATAACAAGGTTAGACCTCCTCCGAAGCAGCCACCTTTTGCAGTCCCACCTAGACCTGATCGTCCGGCCCCAAAAGCCCATAAGACCGCGTCACCAAAACCATCACCACCGCCCTCACCACCTTCAACACCGCCATCACGACCATCAAGACCACCAAAGGTTAGTTCTTCCACAGCATCCGTCCCTACTAGAGGTAAGGCAGGTGCTGCGGTTCGCGCACCAGGGGGTAGAATAGATTTAACACCTTTGATCCGAGCTCAGCAAGAGCGAGGTGCCATCGGTCGTAATCTAGTCGTGTTCTTTGACTGGCACGACACCCTTGACTGTGCGAGGAACGCTTTGAAGGTGTTCGATCAATCCATCCTCAGTAAATTCATCAACTTGGTGCAGATTGCCCAAGGTAGGATTGAATTTCACATAGTCTCTTTTTCGGGCGCTGCTCGAGGACGCCAGACTGAGGAGGACGCGAACAACCTCTCAGAGTACTGCCGTTCGCAAGGTCTCCCTTATCAGGTCCGTCACAGTCGTAGGCGATTGTGTGGGACCGAGCCGTCCTTGCTGGTCCTGAATATCAATGCAAGTCTTTCGGCTGTGGGAGATGACATCGAAGTGTATGCCATCCCTCTCGAAATGAGACGGGGTGGTTTGCTGTTTGCCATCCCACATGATGCTTTGTCAGATCAAGCTATCGCAAATGGCCAGTCTAGTGCCGAAGATGCCCTGATTGGTCCTAGTTACTACCTAGTTCCATCTTTTCTGCCCCTCTCCTTGAGGAATCTGAGGATTTGTTGTCCACCATTGCGCTTGGAATTGAGGCACCTGTTTTGGTTGTCGATTTGCATGATGACATTTTGTCAGCTTGTAGAGAATATGATCCTGTGACTGATTCGCTTGCAAGCATCTTAGGATTCTCCTTGGATCATCCGACAAGCTTGCCTGATATGAATGTTCTGTGGCATGGTTGGTTGCTTTCCAGGTCTGATGATCGCACGGGTTTTTATTCTGCTCAAGAGGACCAGGTACCCGTAGGCAAAGGAGCTCCATCCGTTTCTCCCGGAGCCACAGCAAAGAAAGCACCAGCTGCGAAGAGGATCACAAACAACATGATAGCGGATCAGTTGAGCTGCCTTGCAGCTCAGCTGCAGTTGCTTTCTCAGAGGCAAGATGTGTTAGAAAAAGCTGGAAATACTTTTGTAGGAAATGTGCCAGATCCTTCCAGGGCCCCAGCGTCCAAGCTTCCCGCAGTTTCCAGCGGCCTGAAGCAAATGCCTCCTGTGGCTCCCTTGACAGTAGCCAAGGCACTCAATTTGGTTGGCCCTCCTCCCAAGGTCAGGCAGCCTCAACAGGTCCAATTTGTGGAGGCAGCAGAAAGAGACGAGCCATACGATCCTTTGCAACCTTTGGCCGAGGAATCTGGTGGGATTGTAGCCGCCATAGCGCAGCAGAGCTCGGCAATAACTGCTTTAGTGGCACACATGGCTTCCCAATCAGGAGACGCAATGGCAGAATTTGTCTGCCACCGGGCTGTCATCGAGTTCAACAAAAGGCGTGCAGCGAAGAGAGAAAATGCAGAGCGATCTGGCCCATAGCACCAGCACGTATTTCCTTCAAATGCAGCAGCAGCTTCACCGACGTCTGTTTCCATCCCGTCCGGTGCCCCAATCCGAAGAAGAGCTGAGAGATGTCTCTGTACTGCAGTACTTGGAAAGCCAGGGTGGCTACCGGGCCCAGAGAGAAATGTGGCTGGTGGCCTGGGTGCTAGGGCATGCAGTCGACTCGGCTGCTCAGGGCGATTTCCTTCGTACCAAGGAAATTATAGCCCTCCTACTTGTTGCAGTGGAACAGGCGGTGACAGACAAGGGGGACTGGAGCCTGGCATTCATGTTGACGCTGTTGGAAGAACCACCTATTCAGGTCTTTCAGGAGAGAGCCACCAACCTCGTGCATCTGTCGAGACCGTTCGGGCCGCTAGTACCACCACAATGGACTGCAGTGTGCCTCTCTTACTTGAAGGACCTCGAAGTACTCTCAACCAAAAAGGTGGAAACAGCAAAGAAGGCTTCAAAGACCTCACCAGCAGAAAAAGTAGCCGGAGCATCCGAACCGGATCGAGAGGAGTCACCAAGGCGCAAACCGAGGTTTCCAAAGAAGCCGAAAGCCAAGGCCTCTCCGGAGGCATAGCTCAAAGAAAGCCTTGTTGCAATGACGGTGAGCTCGATGTACCTCACCGCAAATCCCAATTAATTAACACTGGTGGATTTTTAACCTCTGGACTCTAAATAATGGGCGTAATGGAATTTGCCCTGGGTGTAGGCATAAGCTTGGGGGGATGACTTACTGCAAAGCCTGTGGTTATGCTCCCGATTCGGATGCCTGTGGAATTAGTAGTGGCCCGGCTGTGGACTCCCTGTGTTTTGCAAAGTGGTGTTCATTTTTGGCCGTGTCCGTGCTGCGCACACGTTTGCCCTTTGCTTCTTTTCTCTCCAAGACTTTGCATTTGCCGCGAAGCAGTGTTGTTTCGTCATCGCCAACTTTCCCTTTGCCTATTCCGTACCCTGGAATCTTTGCAAAGATGCCCCTAGGTTTGTCTTCATCAAAGAGGAGGAGATATCATTTTAAGCGTGCTTTGCATGTCATAGTGATGGCTTTGAACTTCTGGTGGAGAACAACAGCTTCATCCCTTTGGAGCTTCTAGGGAGGACACCGTCACCCAGCCAACTCCGAATGTTTCGCAGGGTGGCAAGTCTCATGTTGGCAGACGGCCCAGTAGAGCCATTTGAGGTTTTACAAAGCGGTCGACGTTTTCACTTTTTGACGGCTAGACTGGGTGAGCTTTCGGATGCTGTTACAAAGTTGGGGGCAGGTTCTGGCCCGTATGAGAAGGTGTATGCCGGCCATTCCGTTCCTATGGATGATAGCATGTTTCCTGAGCTCGAACCTTACAAGTCCCTGAATGCTGGCAGGTTGAAGGTGGTAGGCACTGGTGGTCTTGACGCTACAGAATTCCTCCCTCCGGACCTGTGTATGGCATATAGATATCCTGATTCCCTGATTTCAGACAAAGTTTCTGAAGCATATGAATTTCCTCAACGCTTAGACCCTGAAGGAGAAGTTGTGGCATTAGCGAAACTGTGGGATGCTCGTGGGTTCTTGCACATTCACGATACTGACTTGCAGAACGAGCGCCCTTTTGAGATGGTACGTGTCTTCAACTGTTTCAAAAACTTAGAGGTAGACAGACAGATAGGAGATCGCCGTGGGCGGAATGCTGTTGAACACCGTGTGTCGGGGCCTTCGGCAAATTTGCCCTCAGGTGCATACCTCTTGGATCTTGTTGTGGATGCCTCCAAAGAGACGCTCTCGGTGATCTGCACAGATAGACGTGATTTTTATCATCAGTTTTCCACGAGCCTTAATAGGACCCTGTCTAACACTATAGGCCTTAAAATCACCCTTAGCCTCCTGCGTGACACTCAGGCCTTCGAGGCTTTTGCTGCTTCCAAGCGTGCCAAAAAACCTCCACGGGTTGAGCTTGGTGACCATTTAGGTTTTTCTGATAGACAGCAGTTTTGCAGGTGCCCTCCACGCCAGTGCATGATCAGTTTCAAAAGCATCTTCCAAGGAGACCATGCGGGGGTCGAAATTGCTACAGATGCGCATGAGGGTTTGTTAAGATCAGCAGGGCTTTTGGCAGAAAACTCGAGAGTGGTTGCTGGTATGCCTTTTTGTGGAGACAAGCTTTGCAAAGGTTTGGTCATTGATGATTACTTTGCCATTGCGAAAGTCCCGAGAGGTGTGCTTGTGCCAAATCCTGCGCTTGACTGCCTATCCAAAAGCAAAGAGTTGTACACCCAGCATGGTATTGTTGGCTCCGATGATAAAGATGTTAGAGGGGCCCAAAAGGCCAAGGTGATTGGTGCCTCCGTGAGCGCTTCTCACGGGGGCATGTGCTGATTGCCTCCCCGGCCGAAAAGCGGTATGCACTGTCTTGAATCACTCTGCAGAATTGCCAGTTGTCTCACACCACAGACTCCTTACACCTGTGCCTGTTGGGGGGTTGGACTTCAATACTTATGTATAGGTATGTATAGGCGACCCTTCATGTCAGTTCTGCAAAAGGCTTTCCACTTAGTAGATCTTTCACAGCTTGATTCTGCAAACCCAAAGCTTATCCGGTTGACTAGGCATGTTACGAATGAGCTCACACTGCTGAGCGTCTTGGCGCCCCTCATGGTGTCAGATGTTGCAGTACAGATTTGTGAGGAAGTTTTTGCCACTGATGCCTCTCTACAGAAAGGGGCGATTGTCAGCTGCTCACCGGGAAAAACCATTGTTGAAGTCCTGTGGAAGAGCTGTAGGTCGAAAGGTGGTTACTCGAAACTCCTTACCAGGGAGCAAGCCATTTTGCCCAGGTGCATGGATTTTGAGGAATTTGATGTCCCAAAGACGGAGCCTGTCCAGAGGCCACTTGCTTTCCGCTTTGCTTTTATCGAAGTGTTTGCAGGGTCACAGCATGCATGGCTCGGCGAGGCTATTCAGTGTGTAATCCAATTGATATCTCCTTTGACAAAGAGCTTGATGTCTCTAAGGTGCATGTTCTGGAGTGGATTCTGCATTTGATTGATAACTTGCTAGTCAGTGCCGTGATGATCGAGCCCCCCTGCACTACTTTCAGCATTATGAGGAAACCAGCCTTGAGATCTTCGAGTTTTCCCTTTGGCTTTGACCTTGATAATTTTCAAACGTGCCTTGGAACCCTTCTAGGCTATCGTGCCTTTCAGATCTTGTACAAGTGTGCCAAGCGAGGGATTACAGCCGTTTTGGAAAATCCTCGGTCCTCAATGATCAAGTTATTGCCAGGCTGGAAAGTGGTTTCCAATTTGGAGTGTTGTCAGTTAGTGAGGTGCGACTCCTGTGCATATGGCTCGATTCACCTGAAGAGTTTTGCTTTCCTTTTCGTTTGGGCCGAGGTTGCACCAATTGCATTACGCTGTAACGGTATGCATGAGCATGTTCCGGTCCAAGGAGTCTACACAAAGAAGTTCGCAACTTATGTTGAGAAGCTGTCGGAAGCCTTGGCCGATGTGATGGAACTTGGGATCAAGAGATTGGCAGACTTCTATCATGCTTCTGAAGCTAAGGATGTCTCAGGGATTGAAAACCAAATGATAAACGAGATTTGTCTTGCGCAACAGTGGAAGGTCGTTTCGTCCTAGACTTTTCGTATTCCCGCCCACATTAACATCCTTGAATTGGCTGCTGTTGTGCGTCTTCACCCGTCTGGTCAAAGAGGGTAGGGCAAAACGGCTGGTGATTTTGGTTGACTCCAATGTGGTCCGTTGTGCAGCCTCCAAAGGTCGACCGTCCTCAAAAGCCCTTTCAAAGCTCCTTGCCGGATTAGCTGCACTCTCGGTCGCTGGTGGCCTTTATTTAGTGTGGGGTTTTTGTCCTACCCGTCATAACCCTGCTGATGACCCTACTAGAGATGTTGCACTACGCTCCCCAATCCCGGGCTTGGACTTAGCCGCTTGGGATTGCTCTGAGTTGTTTCAGCTTGCGTGCTTTCCTCGGCTGAAGCGTTGGGCTTCGAATTGGCTCCGTTTGGTGCTGTCTTTGCTTGGGGCCCCTCTGTTGTCTTTCCGTGACAAGTCCTCATGCCGTGTTGGCGCTTTTCCCTATGGCCTGCTGGACTGTGATGTTTCTCCAGCCAGAGATCAACCCACACACCACGAATAAGCTGCGGGTTTCATTCTATGCACAGTTTTGACAAGTGGCTAGCGGCTAGCTGAACTTGGGATTTCTTTGGATACCATGCCGGACTCGCATTTTCAGTACATTGATGAGATCAACAAAAGTTTGGTGAGGTACGGCAGAGCCCTGTATGCTTCAGGCAGACCTTATAATCACTACGCTGAAACTATAAATTCCATCGCTTCAAAACGTCCTGCCATTAGGCGCCAGTTGCAAGAAGCCTGGAACCTGGCCTTTGCGTGGGTTCGAGATGAACCTTCCACGCATCACCTGGCTATGCCGTGGCAAGTACTGCTATCAACATTATCAGTCTGTTTTCTCTGGGGATGGATGGACCTTGCTGGTATGCTGGCCCTAACCTGGGGCGCTTTATTACGCGTTGGAGAGTTCTTGCAAGCTACTAGATCGGATTTACTTTTGCCTGTTGACACCATGTATACAAATAACTTTGCACTTTTATCGCTAAAGGAGCCAAAAACTCGGTTCACAGCTGCGAGACATCAATGTGCCAAGTTGGATTCTCCGGACTTATTGCAGGTGGTGCATCTGGCATTTTCGAGGTTACATCCGACACAAAAGCTTTGGCCTAGAACTGGACAGACCCTGAGATTGAGATTTAAACAGGTACTTCGTGCTCTTGGGCTTGACTCTGTCCGACTCAATGGGAAAACTCTTGACTTGGGTTCCTTCCGTCCAGGAGGCGCGACTTGGATCATACAGCAGACGGAAGATGGCGAACTTTGTCGTCGACGTGGGAGGTGGATAAATCAGCGGGTCATGGAAATTTACATCCAGGAGGTTTCTTCTTTTCAATATCTGTCAATTATCCCAGGAGCTGCTCAACAAAAAGTTTTTGGCCTTTGTGACTTCTTTCCTTTGGCTTTACAACAAGTTGAACGTTTCTGGTCAGCGGGTATTTCTTTGAATGTTTGGTTTCTCATATGGCGTGGACAAGATACAAGGTAGAATTGGGAAATGCGGATGTCTTGTGCTTTCAGCCCTCTCTGTGAATGACAGTGATCGAGCAGACAGATGTTTCATGTACAAACGCAGTGCAAAGCTTCCAAGAGAAAAGTGAGTGCTGGAGATCTTATATACTATATATACTATATATACTATATATACTATATATACTATATATACTATATATACTATATATACTATATATACTATATATACTATATATACTATATATACTATATATACTATATAGACTATATATACTATATATACTATATATACTATATATACTATATATAGTATATAGTATATATAGTATATATAGTATATAGAGTATATATACTATATATATACTATATATATACTATATATACTATATATACTATATATACTATATATACTGTATACTATATATACTATCTATACTATATATACGATATATACGATATATACGATATATACTATATATATACAATA